CGCGCCCCGCCGCTCGCGCCCAACAGGGCGAGGGGCCTGCGCGGCGGCCTCCCTTGCCTCCTGCCGCCGCCGCTGCTGCTCCTCGCGCAGGGGGGAGGGCCCCCAGGGCCGCGTTGGGCGACGGCTCGTCGTCGTCATTGTCGTCGTCGTCGTCGTCGTGGTGGTCATCGTCGTCATCGTCGTCGCCGTCGTCATCGTCGCCGTCGTCGAGGCGTTGCGTGAGATCTGGGGGCTCTGTTGGATGCGTCGGGCGCCGCGGCCTTCTCAGAGCGTTCCAGAACGCTCTGGAACGGATTATCCGCATCCTAGTCTCACCCAACGAGGGCCGCCCGAGGCCCTCATGCGAGCGCCGCCGCCTCCGCCGCAGCCGCCGAAGCCGCCGCCGCCGCCGTCGTCGTCGTCGTCGGCGGCGGCGTCGTCGTCTCGGAGGCGTTCCCTGAGAACCAAACGTCGCAATCTTTTCGCGCCAGGAGTGCTCGCCCAGTTCCAGGCCCCGGGACCGGCACAGATCGATCCAACCAGAAAAATGCCGCGGGAAGATGGTGTATGCGGCCTCTGTGCTGATGTTCCGTTGTACTACTACTTTTGTCGCAACGTCGGATCTCAGGGTTTGTCCACGTCCACCGCCAAGGACACTGATGTCGTGGAACCCACACCTGGGGGCCCTGGGGCCACCATACAGTCGGCCCGTATCAGAAAGATGCGCGATAAGGATGCAAGGGCTTTGCACGCCCAATTCGAAGCTTTTCGAGCGGGGCGCGGCCAACGAAAGTGGCCAAGGATGGGCCGAGGAGGCAAGAATGCAAGGGTACCCTTGGGAAAGATGTCCATCCTTCTCATGCGGGTTGACTGTATATCCACATCCACCGCCTCCCGAGGTCCGCCCCACCCCCAGAGAGGATCGGGACGCCTCCCCTGCGGTGCCGCCTCCGCAGAGGCGGGGGCGCGCAGGGATGGAACTGCGGGGCTAGCGAGGCGAGCGCCTTCATATTCCCGTTCCGCTGTCCCCCTCCACTAGCAGCCTCCGAGGGCCACCGCTCTCGACATACACAGCCAAGTCGGGCGCGGAGTATCAGCAGATCTTGCTCTGGGCCCCGCGCGAGGCGTCCTCCCGAAGCCACTGGGCACGGGACTGGGCCACGTGGAGGTGTGACTGCCGAAGGGCAGGTGGGAAGAAGAGGGGGCGCCCTGCGGCGCCACGACACGCGTGAGGGGTGTGCCGAAACGGGCGGGGCGCCGCCTGGCGGGGGCTGCCACTTGGGCCTGCGGTGGGGCCCCCTGCGGGGCTGCGGAACGCGTGAGGGGTGTGCCGAAATTGAAGCGGCGCCATGCGGACGCTGGAGCCACGAAGCGTGCGAGGGGTGAGGAAAAAATAGGGCGGCGGCGCCACGCGGGCGCTGCCATTTGCGCATTCGGCGGAGCTCCTCATGGGGCCACGAAACGCGTGAGGGGTGTGCCGAAATTTGGGCGGCAGCGCCATGCGGGCGCTGCCATTTGTGCCTTCGGTGGAGCTCCCTATGGGGCTGCGAAACGTGTGAGGGCGCGCTCTGCTCGCGTTGCGGCCGCGTCGCGGCTGTTGAGCTGAAGGGGTCAGACAGGAAAACTCTGAAAAGAGGCGCGTCCGCAGCCGCGAAAATGAGCGTTTCGCTCGAGACACCCTCACAACTGGGCGCGAACGGGTCCGCTGTATTCCCCCTGGCGGCTCCCCCCTTGACCCTTCGGGGGGCCCAAACGCTGTGCCGGCTGCATCGCGGTTGTCATAGGGCTCGGACAAAAAGACGCGGCCACAACAGGCGTTCCGCTCGAGACCGCGAACGGATGTTCCGCTCGACGCACCCCAACCATCTGGGCGCGAACGGGCCCGTGATGTACCCTATGGCGGCTCGGCTCCCCCATGGAGTGCCTAAATGGCATGTGTGCTACATCGTGGTGATCATGGGTGAGCGAGTCTGCGTGTGAATGATGAGTCTGACATTAAATCAGTCTGAGTGTGAGTGACCATGAGTCTGAACACGGGTGAGTCTCCGTGTGAGTGAGTCTTCGTGCGAGCGAGTCTCGGTCTGAGTCCGTCTGGGTGTGAGTGAGCCTGTGTGAGTGTGTGTGTGTGTGTGAGTGAACCTGAGTGCGGGTGTGAGTTGAGTAGACTGTGGGTTTGACTATGATGATATCGAAAGGATCTGAGTGTGAGTGGGTGTGAGTGTGAGTGGGCCTGAGTGTGAGCGAGCCTGAGTGTAAGTGAGCCTGAATGTCAGTGTGAGCGAGAATGAACGGGAGCGGTCTGGGTGTCCGAGTCTGGGCATGACCAAAAATCCGTATAGATGAATATGAGCGTTGAGTGCCAGATCATGACTGGATTGACTGGATGTGGACATGAGTAAGTCTGTGTATGAGCGGTCTCAATACGAGTGATTATGAGTATAAATGAATATTAGCATGAGTGGATCTGAGTGTCAGTGAGCCGGAGTAAGGGTCAATGTGCGAGCAAGTCTGGGCATGGAAGGGAGAAGCAAGGAAAGGGGGGAAGGTGAGGAGGCGGAGGCGTGAAACTAATGGAGGGGGGGAAACTGCAGTTCTGATGCGTTTGTGACGAAGGATGCCAGGGTCCTCTTCTGCAAAAGAAGGACCAGGAGGAAGAGGAAGGACGAGGAGGAAGAGGAAGAGGACGAAAAGGAGGAAGAGGCGGAGGAAGAGGGAAGAGGAAGAGGAAGAGCAAAACGAGGAAGAGAAGAAAGCGGAAGAGGAGGAAAAGGACGAAGAGGAAGGGAGGGGGAACATAAGGAAAATAAGTAAGAGAAGGACCGAGGATCGACGAGGATCGACGCGGATCGACGATCGGTGATAGAGGAAGAGGGATCGAGGATCCAGGCCCCAGAAGGATCGAAGATCCAGGGCCGAAGATAGAGAAGGAGGAGAACCATCGAGGGGCAAGGATCCAGGAGGATTGAGGATCGAGGACGAGCGAAGATCGAGAACCATCACTCGAGGATCGAAGAAGAAGCGAGCAAGCAAGCAGGCGAGCAAATCTCGCGCAGTCTCCCAGTGACCTCAGCCCGGACGACCACTCAGGACTCTGGGGGGGAGGAGGCGGAGGAGGAGGAGGAGGAGGAGGAGCGCACGTAACCTGAGGCGGTCCGTGGTGACCTGAGCACTAGATGCGCATTGCAGCGAGTGCGGCGGCTCGTATCTCGTAATGGTGGTGATTCGTGCAAGTGGGAAGCGGAAAAGCAGGGATGGGAGGAAGCACAGGCGACAGAGGAGCACAGGATGGGGCGTGCCAGGCGGGGGGCACAAGGCTACCTTGACGGACGGGGGCCTCAGACGCCACTCCGAGCGGCGAGACTGCACGATCATCATGCTGAGGCTCCACGGCGGTGCATACCAACTCGTCTGCAAGACCCTCAAGTGACGAGCTGCAGCATCGGAGCTGAATGAAGTCCGAGCGGCGCAGGTACTGGGCTCCAGGAACAGCCCAATCAGGGCGAGCAGCATCGGCGGCTCCACGGTCGGTGTCAGGACGATCTTGGTCGGGAAGGTCGCCACTCAGAGCGGCTGCTCCACAATCGGTGTCAGGACGGTCTTGTTCGGGAAGGTCGCCACTCCAAGCGGCGTCGGAATCGCTATCTTGAAGTAGCAACTGGCGGATGAACGTGTCCACCACTCGAGCCCAGGCGGGTACGTGCGGCAAGATCTTCTCGGCCTCCGGGTACGTGGTATGCGCAACGATCTGGCACGTGTCGGCCGGACTGTGGACCAGGCGGCGTTCAGCGACAACAGGAAGCAGAACGCCACCGACGGCGGCGGCGGCAGCACAAGGCTCGGCACGAGCAGGTTCAGGTCGAAGCTCTTCATGCAGATAGTCGCCACCGTCAGGGACATCGGCAGCATGAGGGTAATCACGATCAGGTTCATGCAGAGGTTCTTGACGCAGATGGTCGAGACCAGCGGCGGCGGCGTGAGCACGAGGCGCGTCACGAGCGGGTTCAGGGAGAAGTTCTTGAGGCAGATGGTTGCCATCAGCGGCGGCGGCAGCAAGAAGCTCATCACGAACGAGTTCAGGCAGAAGCTCTTGAGGCAGATGGTCGCCACCGTCGGCGACAGCAGGAGGAGGAGAAGGAGGAGGAGGAGGAGGAGGAGGAGGCGGAGAAGGAGGAGGAGGAGGAGGGGGGGGTCAGCCAGCCACCTCCGATTGTCACATGCGCCTACCGGCGAGCTGCACAAGCTCACAGGGCGGGCACCGGCCCAGGCCGGTACCCTCCAGGGCACGCGATCCCCTGAGGCATCGAAGAAGAAGAGGCCACGCTCTCGACGCGTGGTGACCCGCAGCTTGAACATGTTGTTACTCATCTCACTCAGAGTTGAAGATGTGATAATTCGTATCCCCAAGACGCTCAGCAGTGTCCAGCCTGTACCTAACACAACGTTGCACGTGCTTGCGCCCACCGTTGAGCCAGTACTTCTCGATCCACCCTCTTCTGGCTGAGCCGGAAGACTCTTCCACCAGAACCCCGGATGCGAGGCCGCGTCGTCCAGCCCAGTACGATGCCGACTGTGATCTGTCCAGGAGGGGGGGGGGAGGAAGGGAGCAAGAGAGGGAGGGAGGGAGGGAGGACACGGAGGAGAAAGAAGGAGGGCGGAGGGAGGAGGGAAGAGGAGGGAGGAGGGAGGAGGAAGGAGGGAGGAGGGAGAAGGGGAGGAAGGAGGGAGCGGCAGGGAGGATGATGGAGGAGGAGGAGGAGGAGGAGGAGGAGGAGGAGGTGGAGGAGGAGGAGGAGGATGCAGGAGGAGGAGGATGGAGGAGGAGAAGGAGGAGGAGGAAGTGGAGGAGGAGGAGGAGGAGGAGGGGAGGGAGGAGGATGGAGGAGGATGGAGGAGGAGGAGGAGGATGCAGGAGGAGGAGGAGGAGGAGGAGGAGGAGGAGGGGGCCCACACCGCACGCCGATGCGGCGCGCCGCCGCGGCCGGGGGGAGGGGGGGGGGGGGGGCGCGTCTCCCCGAGGGAGGGGTCGCGCGGCTGGAGCACGAAACCGCCGCCGAGCTTGCTGCTCATGAGCTGGCGGGGGGGGGTCCGGCGCGGTCGAGCTCCCCGGTCCGGCCGGTCCTCCCGCTCTCCTCCGCTCCTCCTCTCTCCTCCTCTCCTCCTCCTCCTCCTCCCCCCTCCTCCTCCTCCTCCTCTCCTCCTCCTCCTCCTTCTCCTCCTCCGCCTCCGCCTCCGCCTCCTCCTCCTCCTCCTCCTCCTCCTCCTCCTCCTCCTCCTCCTTCGCCTCCTCCTCCTCCTGCACCACCTCCTCCTCCTCCCGTCATCACCATCATGACGGCGCCCAGCGGCCCCATCCCCGTGGCAGAGATCTCCCCTTTCTGATACCTATATGTTTGCATGCGAGCACGGTTTGTCCTGGCAAAGGCATCCAGAAACCAGAACACAACAGAATGGTCATCACCGTTACCATCGTCATCGTCTTCAGCACAATCGTATTCGTTACCCAGCTCATGATGATGGTTGTCCTCATCATCCTCATCGTGAGGATGGTAATCGTCATCTGCAGTAGGATGGATATCGCCATCATCATGGCGCCCAGCGGGCCCATCCCCGTTGGAGGCAACTTCCCGCTCAGAAACCTACGCGTTCGCATGCGGGCGCGACCTTACTTAGACAGGGGCATATCGCCATCATCTTCATCGTCGTCATCATAATCGTTCTCATTACCCTCCTCGTTGAGACGAATACGATCCTCATCATCCTCGTCGTCAAATTCGTTGTCGTCAGAATATGAATAATTGGCATTACCAACGTCATTCTCGTTGCCCTCCTACTTCAAATTACGGGTGCCTCCCATCCCCCTGACCCTCCTCCTCATATTCCCCTCCATCAGCATGAGCATCATCATCCCCAGCACTGCTATCACTATACACCTCACACATAAACACACACACACACACACAAAACGAAGCCCCTCATTACGATCATTGTCCGCAAGATGATCGATATAATCACCTTCACCCACATCATCACTATCATCATCAGCATCACCATCAACAGCATCACCACCAGCGTCATCATCAGCATCATCGTCATCATCATCAGCAGCAGCAACGGCATCATCAGCATCATCATCACCATCATCATCATCATCAGCACCAGCATCAGCATCATCATCACCACCACCAACACCACCATCATCATCAGCATCATCATCAGCATCGTCATCATCACCACCATCACAATCACCACCACCACCACCATCATCGTCATCATCATCATCCTCATCAGCATCATCATCATCATCATCATCATCATCATCATCATCATCATCATCATCATCATCATCATCATCAAAATCATGATCGTCATCATCAGCAGCACCATCATAATCATTAGCTGCAGCATCAGCAGCATCAGCATCATCAGCAACATAATCATCAACATCACCACCATCATCAGCATCAGCAGCAGCATCAGAATCAGCATCAATACCATCCTCATAATAAGAACCATCATCAGCATCACCACCACTACCAACACCACCATCATCATAATCATCAGCATCAGCATCAAAATCATCATCGTCACCATCATCATCATCATCATCATCATCATCATCATAATCATCATCATCATCATCATCATCATCATCATCATCATCATCATCATCATCATCATCATCATCATCATCATCATCATCACCATCCAACGTGTCATCATCATCATCGTCACCATGCTCCTCCAAGGCGCTGCCGCGGCCTCTCTGCGCCGCTCTGCCTCCCGCACGAATTGCTCGACCTGCCTGTGGCTGTCCTCCGCGTCCTCCCGCTGCTTGCGGCGCCTGCGGGGGCCGAACCATCTATCCTGTGATCGGATGGCTCAAACAAATTTCCGTTCCGCTCCATCCTGCTCCTCCTCCTCCTCCGCGTCGTCGTCCACCTCCTCCTGCTCCTCCTCCTCCTCCTCCTCCTCGTCCTCCTCCTCCTCCTCCTGTTCCTCCTCCTCCTCCTCCTCCTCCTCCTCCTCCTCCTCCTCCTCCTCCTCCTGCTCATTCTCTGTCGGTCAGACGGTCGGAACTGAAAGTCGGATAATCATTGCATCCTATCCGAGAAAAAGGATAGAGTAACAGAGGACAAGGAAATTATCCGAGCGAAGGACCCAGCCACATGCAGTTGCGAGCATCGCCGTTGTGAAAACCGCCTTCCGTATAGCTCCCTACGGAACCACGAGACGCGTGAAAGGAGCGCCGAAATGGGGCGGAGGCGCCATGCGGACGCTACCGCTGGGGCCGCCCGCAGGGGGCGCGGAGGTCAGACGAAACGGGTTACATGCTGATGTAACCCGCTGCGGCTGACAGGCACCGGGAGAAGCGCATGTTGGCGCGGCGTGCGAACGCAGCCACTAGGGCCTTACGTGGAGCTCCGTACGAGGCCACGAAGCGTATGAGGGGTGTGCCAAAGTGAAGGGGGGCGGCATACGAACGCAGTCACTTGGGCCTTCGGTGGAGCTCCCCTTGGGGCCACGAAATGTGTGAGAGGTGTGCCAAAAGTAACGGGGTGGCGGCATGCGAACGCAGCCACGGGGTCCTTAAGTGTAGCCCCCTTTATGGGGACACGAAACGTGTGAAAGGTGTGCCAAAATGGGCGGGGGCGGCATGCAAATCAGCCAGTGGGGCCTCCTGTGGAGCTCCCTGTGGGGCCACGAAACGTGTGAGGGGTGTGCAAAAGTGAGGGGGGTGGCGGCATGCAAACGCTGTCACTGGAGCCTTCGGTGAAGCCTCCTGACGGGGCCACAAAACTTGTGAGGGGTGTGCCAAAATGAGGAGGGGGGGGCATACAAACGCTGTCACTGGGGCCTGAGGTGGAGCCGATAGGGCCACGAAACGCGCGAATGGGTGTGCCAAAGAGAGGGGGGGGACGGGAGGAGGGGGAGCGGGAGCGGGAAGAAGAAAGGGGGGGGAGGAGACGCAAGGACTGTCTCTTCAAGACGAGGACCCGCCGACACCACAGGATGGTTGGGAAAAAGGGGCAGCTGGCGACGTGCAGTTAGACACCAGGGGCAGCGAAGCGAAGCGAAGGCGCCGGAGTCGGGCACACTGGTGTGCCCGTGCCCTTTTGGGCATGGCGCAGGAGGCCGTGGCCTCACATCTCGTGCGAATAGAAGTCGTGGACGAAATACTGCAGGAACCAGTACACAAAGAAGGCAAGGAACAATATGCGTATGAACCGCAAGAAAAAGAAGGCGTGGTAGAAGATGTTCGCGGACCAGATCAGAATCGAATCGGTGCGGTCGGTGTCCTGGCTGCTGCTGTTGTGTTGCTGTTGGTGTCAGCGGTCGATGGTGCTGGCGCCGGAGGTACGAACGGTAGTTGGTGTACTTGATGTTGGGGGCTGCGCGCTCAGCAGTTGTATGCAACGAAAGTGCTCTCAAGCGAATCCCACCATGTCGTGTCTGTGGCAGCTGTTAACCACCTCACATCGTTACTGTCGTAGTGGAGGTATCGTCGTGGATGGATGGCGTCGTTGGCATCGCTGCCCGTGGCTTCGTCGTTGGCGGTCGTGTGCAAGCCCTGCAAAAACTGCCTCATGTCGTCGTCCCACCGCTTTCTTTGGCCGACATGCTGTCTGTGACCTTGCTGTTTCGCGTCGAGGCTGGGGTTCCAGTTCAACGCTCGGTGTGTCCATCGGCTCTGCGGATGGCTTGCAACGCGCGCGGCCCAGCGCCAAACCTTTGTGCGGTGTATTTGTGCTACGTCAGGAATGTCGTGCTTGTTCATGAGTTCCTCTGCTCTGCGTGTGCTCCGGCGCATCCTAACGGGGGGCATTTTATCCCTGGCACGTGCACTTGTTGCGTCGGCCTATGCGCCGTCGTAACCCATTTTCTCGCCCTGTGCCCCTGCCGAGACCATCCCGCTTCCTGGATCTGTCCTTGGAGCCGTCAATCAAATTATCCCGGCAAAGCAACCTAACAGCGATGTGTAGGAGCATATCTGGCAGCATTCCACCTAAGATTCAGATGAGAATCCAGTTGTAGAATTCGGCTGTTCTCGCAGTCGCAGTCGCATTCGCGATGACAGTCGCAGTG